TTCATCTCATTGAATACAGAACCTTTTAACAACTCAGAGCTGTATGTTTAAAATCAGCACAGAATACATAGAAGAGAAAACTTATTGCCACCAGTAGATTTGCTTTATGTTCCCAGTTAATTTGTCCAAACGTGCTTTTTTCTGTCAAACAAGTAGAATTGGCCTGGCTGCAGAAATAAAAAACAACATGGCAAATGACCTTTTAATGGGTTTAGATACTTTAAATGGTTTTGTTTTTTCTTCTTTCATCTAATTTATTGCACATTGAGAATAAGCAAATAACTGTAAATTAATAATTCAGCAATTCTGAATTGGGTCAGTATTCAGGTTTTTCTGCTTAATTCAGATGGGGTTATGCTGCTTCTACCAATTACTGTGCACACCTACTCAGCAGGCTCCACTCATGGATGCTCTGAAATGGGCTGTGTTCCCTGTGGTCCTGTTAGGGACAAACTCTGGAACTAGAAGGTGAAGAAGAATGGTGATTCATTTAATAGTCGTTTTTAGGCTGTAAAATGCCTTTTTCAAAAGTGAACGGATGGAAAACCATCTTTGTAATAAGAGGAAAAACCATCACTAAACAGAGTGGGAGAAATGTGGTTTCATAATCTAAGTGTTTCGAGTTCAGTTATAAAACTAATTTCAAAGATATTACATAAGCACCCTCAGAATGATTCAAAAAACCAATAAAACAGCCCAATCTTGAAGAATGAGGGGTGGCTATTTGATTTGCACCTTACTTGGGATGCTCCCCTACACTCTGGTGCAGAGGGTAAAAAGCAGGCCCGGCCCTAACCAATTTGGAACCCTAGCTAACATTTTAGTCGGTGCCCTACCTGCATCACAGTAAATTCCACTGCCAGTTTACATGTTCACACAAAAAAAAAATTAAAGTGGATTGTCTTTGACTTTTTCTTTTATTGAGGAACAGTGAAAACCGACTTGAACATCATTGAAACCAATGAAATAAGACAATAAAGCCAAAATTAGAAATAGATCATACAAAATTGTAATTTTAACAACCTTTGCGATGTGCAATGTTGAACTATCTACAAAATAAAACAGTGTAAAAAAAGCCACATAAAATACATTCTAAATACAGGACATATAAAGCATTGCACAAAGTGGTGTGGCCCAAAAAGTTCTAAAGAAACCAGCATTGGGCTTGTTCTGTGGTATAGTAGTCAAACACTCTATGCTCCACCTGGGGATGGGGCTGGGCTCTTGGTCATGGCCTGGCTGGGGGTTTCTGGCTCTGCTGTGGCTCTCCAGCCTTTGGTTCCCATCCTATGGCTTTTTTTGTTTAAGTGCATTTATGCATTTTCAGGATGTTTGCACCCCATGACTAATGTACTGTAGAGGTTGATCTCTAAAACTGATTTCAGATAATAAAGTAAAACATCTTGGTGTTATTTTTGATCAGGACCTGTCACTTAAATCCCATATCAAAGAGGTTTCTAGAATTTCCTTCTTTCATCTGAGGAATGCAAAAAATTAGAAATATCCTGTCCAGGAGTGCTGCTGAGAAACTAGTCCCTGCATTTGTTACNTAGTAAAAGATTGTCATGGTTCATCTCATTAAAAACAGCACCTTTTAACAACTCAGAGCTGTATGTTTAAAATCAGCACAGAATATATAGAAGAGAAAACTTATTGCCACCGGTAGATGTGCTTTAAAAGTGCTTTTTTCTGTCACAAACAAGTAGAATTGGCCTGGCTGTAGAAATAAGAAACAACATGGCAAAGGACCTTTTAATGGGTTTAGCTACTTTAAATGGTTTTGTTTTTTCTTGTTTCATCTAATTTCTTGCAGGTTGAATATAAGCAAATAACTGTAAATTAATAATTCAGCGATTCTGAATTGGGTCAGTATTCAGGTTTGTCTGCTTAATTCAGATGGGGTTATGCTGCTTCCACCAATTACTGTGCACACCCACTCAGCAGGCTCCACTCATGGATGCTCTGAAATGGGCTGTGTTGGGCTGTGTTCCCTGTGGTCCTGTTAGGGAAAAACTCTGGAACTAGAAGAGGAGGAAGAATGATGATTCATTTAATAGTCATTTTTAGGGCTGTAACATGCACTTTTCAAAAGTGAACGGATGATTTAAAAGAGGGGAGAAGAAAACCATCACTGAACAGAGTGGGAGAATTGTGGTTTCATAATCTAAGCATTTATCATTCAGTTATAAAACTAATTTCAAAGAGATTACATAAGCACCACCACCAGAGGTGGGTAATGCACATAGAGTCTTTCAAGACAATAAATGGTCAAGAGAAGGGAATGCTGCTGAAGCTGGACTACTAAATCTATATAGTTCTGGATTTAGTACTTTAAGATTAGATAATCAGTCAGAGAACAACAGAAGAATTCGTGCAAGCTCTGGAATATTTAAACATTGAAAAATAAAAACTAGGGTGATGACAAAAATATTTCCCCCCATTCAAAAAAAATAAAGGAAGAAATGCTCAGAAAAGGTGCTGCCAGTTTAATTTGTTTGTTTTCTGGTTATACGAGTAGTAGCTTAGGAACAGAAAGTGGATGGAACTCATAAGATGGCCAAAGATGTAGGCCCATTACATTTCTACATTAGAGGCTTTAGTATGTAGCCTCTTGGAAGTATGGAGAAAATAGAGTAAATGATTACAAAGGAAAAACAATATATCAGTTATAAAAAATGGGTTTATGAATAATTTGTGTAAACTCAGTCTGCAATAAAAATTCTGACTATCACTGATAGATTTCTTCTTCAGATTTATACCTCAATCTTGATAATTCAGGAAAATTTGTTGTTAACTACTGCATTGACTGGAAAAAAAATTCCCCCACCTCCATTACCCGACTGCTGCACAGTTTAGAGTGGTTCCTGTTTACAAAGATACAGAAAGGGCACACAACACATATTGTATTATGTATAAAAGAGGAAGGTATCTTTTAGTTATTTTGGTAGACTCATTAACACACAATCATTTCATACTTCTCTGGGTATGTAAATCTTTGTGTGGTCAGGTTACAAAAAAAAAAACACAGTGATAAGACTGGAACGTGTTTACTTGATAATACTAAATATCCGGGAAGTTTTGTATAAAACGAGTCCCACTGCTCTCATGAAAGGCAGAGAGGCAATACTTGGTCTGCCTTTGTATGTCTGTATCTAAAATCTATTGCTTCTAAAAAGTCTACATGATGGGGCAAAATATTTTTGGACCTGTTCTAGGTGAGCAAATTAAGTCATTGGAATTACTTGACAACCACAAATGCATGTTCTTTAAATTGTTTTCAGAAAAGAAAAAGCTGTTATTCAATTCAAACATGTAAATAAAACTAATTTTGTACAAATATTACTATTTTTCTAATAGACATAAGTAAATAATTTTCATTAGCTTAGAAATTATATTTTATTATATGATGTATATGATGAAAGCTTAATGTGACATGAACATCCCAAGAATGATGCTAATGAACAAGACATGGCCAGATTGGTATTTGTTAAACTTGATAGGCGATAGTTTCACAGTGTGAATTTAAGTAGAAATGTAATATAAAGACAAATATGTTTCCTTAGGATAGAATTTGTGCATCACTGGACAGAATAATAAGAACAAACATAAAAAAAAACTATTATATATCATCATTGACAAGGTGCTACATTACATTACATAACTGATTAATGTAC